TTTCAACTATACACCATCCAGACTAGAACCCTATTTTGATTAGGTTTTGGACTAAAGAATCCTAATGAGATTAGGACTTCTATCTAGACCAAAATTGAGAATTTGATTCTTAATGGTATTCCACTCCAACTAAAATCCTAGTTTGACAAGGATCCTAATAGGATTATGACTCTTATTTGGAATCAAATTAGGAATTTAATCCCAATTAAAAGATCAACCGAAATAGACTCCTAGTTTGACTAGGAATTTGATTATAGAATCCTAATAGGATTAGAACTCTATAATAGATTTGTTTTAAAATTATTAATTTTAATTTGATTAAAATTAAAGTAATCCTTAATGGTTAAGAAAATTGCAATCCCAAAATATTTATGCTATAATTAGAATAATCACATGTTTTTCTTTTATTCATGCAATGTGATTGAATGGATGTGGGTATGATCATGGACTTGGACCAAATAATTGAGCTATGTGATTGGTTTGAATGCAATGTTATTGTATTTTTTCCTTTGGGTGTGTAATTTTTGAAAAATGGGGCTTGCATGCCTCCTTTCTCCTTTCTCTATGTAATTTCTTTTCTCATTTCCTATTGTACATCCCCTTGATCTTAATCAAGGTTTCTTTTCATTAATGAAATGAATTAGAATAGAACAATTCAATAGGATTGAAGATATAGATGAAAGCATGGTGGAGCCCAGATGTAATGTTCATGGAGGTCCATTGAAACGACACACCCAGAAGATCAGTGCCATGAGATGATACGTTTTCAAATTTTATCATCACCCACATAGACCCAGATTCAATTCAATGGCTCGAATTGAATCAAACTAAAAGTCCATGATCATTCATAGGGCAAAAGGCCCAAATTGCCATAGATAGTTATATGTCCATATTTGATATATTGAATCATATTTTGTGATGATTAAATTTAATATATTGATATTCTCGCAATCCTAATTTAAAAGTTAAAGTTACTTTTTAAATGGGTTAGTGGGAGTATAATATATTAATTGGACTAATAACGATAAATGGCAAGAATTAATTGTTGATGTGTATGAGATGCATGTATTTATGATGAGACAATTAGACCTTCAAAAACCCCTCCACAAGATATTAAGTTGCAACGAAGAGACATTATGAATGTCTTATCATGGTCTTCCGTCGTTGTAAATATATTAAGGATTTTTTAGCGTGATTAGTCGACTACAGATATGTGGGGACTATTCATTTTTGGGAATGCTTAATAACTTATTCAAACATATGATGCTATGAGGAAAGATGCCTATAAGTTTCAAGATACTATTATGTGAGGAGCTTATTGGTCATAAATGCCTACACTTGTATAAATGGTGGGTGTAACTTAACTAGGGTAAATGGGCCAAGATGTTATTATGTGAGGTTCATTTATGCTAGAGACCAAAGGATGATTGGAAATTGCATAAGATGCATTAGGTGGGAGTTACCTACTCATTAAGGATTAGTATAACCAAGATGCTATTATGTGAGGTTATATTAATTTAAGGTGGGACCCCAATCCCCACTAGGAATAAAAATTTCCTAATTCCATAGGAGGGTGTATGGGATTTGAGAAAAAGTGGGAGGTACCATTGTGATTTAAAGACCCAATCTAATGGTTTAAAAATGAAATCGCTAATTCAAGATGTTATATTTGATCACAATGACAAGTCTTCACCCCTTATCCAGAATTACTATTAAGGACATGCCTTTGAAATGTATGTTTGATATTCTCTTTATTGAAACTGATTTGTCAATTGATTCTGCTTTAAATTAAGTATTAGATACCACATCGAGTTCTTACATATATAATTAATTGTATGAACTAAAATAAAGTAAAAAGGTAAGTTGAGGAGAAGTGTCCCTTCGAGTGGAAAATTGAGCAAGTGTTGTTGCATTAACTGTGGGGATCTGCTACTTGCAATTGCCATCTTAATTGCTTTAGATTTTAGGAACCGTTTATTTATGCCTAATATGGTAAGGAACATATATTTGTTTCATCATTATATAAGGGTGGTTATAGATATGTTTTTAAAGAAAAACATTTTGTTTATTTACTTTTAATTCTAATTTGATTGGTTTTGACATATTCTTCAACGGTCTCTATTTCTTAAACAAGAATGGCAATATAAATAATATTGAACATAATGATATGAATGTCATCGCTTATAAAAGACCTAGAGATGATAAGAATCCTAATTATATGTAGCATATCAGATTAGGTCATATTAGTGAGGATGAAATTTGCATGTTGGTTAATAATGGACAATTAGGTCCATGGCCTTATAAAGCCCATCCAACATTTGAATCTTGTCTCATGGGTAAGATGACTAAAACAACATTTGTAGGACAAAGTGAAAGAGCTGCATATATTAAGATTATTATATAGTGATGTATCCGGACTACTGAGTTTAGTAGACATAATTTGTTATTCATACTTCATAGTCTTCACCGACGACCATTCATGGTTAGAGTAAGTGCACTTGATGAAGTGCAAATCTGAAATATTTGAAAAGTTCAATGAATTCAGATATGAAGTAGAAAAAACAAACAAACAAAAGTATTAAAACTCTTTGATCAGATCGAGGAGGAGAATACTTAAATGCTGAATTTTTGGATCATCTCACAAAATGACATTCTATCAAAGTGGATTCCTTCTCCAACACCACAACTTAATAGTGTTTCTAAAAAGAGAAATTGAACACTATTAGGTATGGTTCGATCAATGATGAGTTACACTAACTTAATAATCTCCTTTTGGGGACTTTCCCTAGAAACTGCCACATACCTGTTAAATAGGGTACATTCCAAATTTGTCCTTAAGACACCATATAAGATATGATATGGGAAAAAGCCAAGTCTTAAACATGTTAAGATTTGGGGTTGTCCATCACATGCTGAGAAACTAGATATGAACAATTTGGAAGCTATGACTGATAGATGTAAGTTTGTGAAAAATCTTAAAAAAAAGAATCTTTAGGATATTATTTCTATCTTCATAGCGAACAAAATTGTTTGTTAGCTAGTTTGCTACTTTCTTGAATAAGATTTTATTCAAGATTAAGGCATAACAAGAAGGACAGAACTTGAGAAAATGTCCTCAGAACCACAAACAGTTACCGATCAACCTAAATACCCTATAAACATAAAACTTAGTATTACACAAGCTCTGTATAAATCTTATAAGATACCGCACCACTTTAAAGATATTGGTGTTTTCATCAAGGTGATAAGGAACTCTTTATTGGTTATAATGATCTTATAAAATACACAGAGACGATGTAAGACATCAACTCAAAAAAATGGCAAAGTGTCATGAAATCATAGATGAATTCTAGATACTCCAACCAAGCCTAGACTTTTGTATACCCACCTTAAGGTATTGTACCTATAGGCTGCAAATGGGTTTCAAAAGAAAGACAAGCTTAAATGGAAAGGTAGAGACCTATAAAGTTAGGCTATGAGCTAAAGGTTTCAAACAAAGACAAATTGTTGACTATGAATTTGATCATGATATGCTACTAGGTGTCACTCATGATTAGTAGAAGCTCGAAGAATGAAATTAATATAAATATATTAATTATTCTTCATAAAGAGAGAATTAGAAGAGTTCTAATACAAGCTGAATTAGAAAGAGTTCTAATTTGAGAGCTACTTGTAGTTAGTATTGAATACCTACAATCGGATAAGCTTAAACTTATAGGGTCACACACAATAGTATTGATTAGAAACTAAAAGATAAAGAAGAGACAATCAATTAAGAGTTAACGGGGGTGAAAACCTAATTAAGAGTTAATTGGGGACTTTATTACAATTAATGTTAATAAAGGAGTTTTATGTAATTATGAGATAATTGCAACTTGACCCAAACTAGGATTAGAGCCTTTAAAACTCTATAAATACCTTTATGTAGGAGGTGGATACATGATATAACAACTCTTTTGCTAGTACAAGAAGAACCACCTCTCATTTCTCTCTCTCTCTCTCTACTAGTTTATCAATGGTTGAGGTAGTTCCTTCAAGTTTGTCAATTCGTGTGCATATCAATAGAGGCTAAACATTTGCGAGGCTTGGGGTAAAAATCAAATTCAAATTTTAAGATTTAAATTTTTTGAGAATGCTTAAAGATTGTTAAAGGCACGCTTCAAGAGGTAACCCTTAATCTTCTCTGTAGATCTAAGATTGCTCGGTTTGTATTAAACATGAATAGATCTTGGTATGAAAAATCAAATTATTATTTTAAATTCCGCTACGTTTATTATATGATTCCTTTCACCTTGTACTCAGCAACAAATATATTTCAGCTCAGCCCAATTGAGGTATGCAGAATTGGAATGCTTAAAGGGTAAATTACACTTTGTCCCCTTAAACTATTGCCTTTATTTCACTTTATACCATCAACTATAAAATTTCTTACATTGCACTCTAAAAAATCAATTTTGTTTTATATCACTCCAATACATAATGGCTATCAATTTTTTTAACAATAATGTACATGTGTCTTGTAAGTGGTTTGTACTGCCAATAAACTGAATAAACAACAGTTTATTGCACATATATAAGTCAAAAATTAAGAAAAATATTATATCCATGACTTTGTCCTTCCTAAGCTCCAAAGTTTTTACTCTGGCCGACATTCTTTTACTTCTCAGCACCCATTTGGCTGCAAAAAATGTAAAAAAAAAAAAAAATGGTATTAAGTACTTGGCGGAAAAATTTGGGGTTTCTCTCTCCTTTAATAGATTTTCAAGTTTGTCTTTTAATCCGTCAAAAAACTAATAATCGTTATCTATTTGAGTAATATGAAATAAAAATGATACTTTAAAGTATAATATGAAAAATTTTACAGTCGAGGGTACAAAATAAAACAAGGGTAATAGTTCAGGATAAAATATAATTTACCCATGCTTAAAACATTGAAACAGAGAATGAAATTTAACCACTATCAGATGATGTTTCTTATCATTTTGCCACATTTCTCACAGGATTTGGTATTGGCAATGTTGCTGCTTAGGCTGCTGCGTTTGTTCAGCGACGAAGACATGTCAAAGGAGCTGATGTTGTCGAGCAAGAGACATGGTTCAGTTGATCGAGTTTTTGTAATTTGTGGTGAAGACGAGTTGTTAAAGAAGGATTTTCAAAGATGGATGGTCGAGAAAAATCACCCGAATGAAGTGGTGGAGATCACAGGAAGTGATCACATGGCCATGATGTCTAAGCCGGTTGAGCTTTCAGTTCATCTCCGGTGCATTGCTGACAAGTATTCTTGATCTTCTAATAAGTTTTTGCTGCAAGGAAAAACAGAAAGGTGTGTGTGTGTTTGAGAGAGACGGCGCCGGGCCAACCTATAAGTGACTAAGGCCATTGCCTAAGAAAAATTTAGGGTCCCAAAATAAAATTTTATACAATGGTATGATATTGTGATATAATTTAAATATTTAATACATTTTAACAATTGAACTAGGAGCTTTTGACTTATCCATGCACTTTTAAAAAAAAGGTCTCAAATGAGGATAGTTTTGAAAGTAATTCTCAAATGCAGTCAATTTTTAAAAATGTCAAACTAATTGACGTTTTTAGGATAAAGACGTCAAATGGACTGACGTCTTTATCCTAAAAATGTCAGTCCATTTGATGTTTTTTAGCTCAATACTGTAACTTAGCCCACATGATCAGCCCACCATTAAAAACGTCATTCGGTTTGACGTCTCTTATAAAGACGTCATTCATTTTGACGTCGTTGCCTCCACACGCCAAATCAAGCCATGCAGTTGTTAATAACATGTGATCTAGCTACACCAACAAATGTGATGTTTATTTAATAAAATAATGTTAATAAAATGTACTCAACTTGTAAAGGACATATATAATAAATAAAATAATACATATATAATAATCAAACCACTCAATTATTTTATGTTGTACCACCTGCACATAGGGGTGTTCACCCTACCCTATGGGTAGAAAATATGTTCTTCCTTCTTCCTACCCGATACTTTGCGAAAGAGTTTTTTCTTTGTTTACCCTACCTGACAGGTGTGGTATTCCTACCCGATTAATCGGGTAGGAAGTCGGGTAGAAAATTAGGTAAATATTTTTGTAACAATTAATTTTTTGATCATTTTATCAATTTAATTAATAAATAAATTTTGATAATTTAAAAATACATAAATTTCTTTTTGTCCTACTGACATATTTTTCCCTAATAATACCTAAAAATATTTTGCTCCATCTTTTTTTGAGAGGATGAGTAATTAAATTTTTATTTATTTAAAATTTAATTATATTCAATAAATAAATTTTGATAATTTTAAAATACTTATATTTTTTTAGCATATCAAACTCCACCGACAAGACCAAGCACACCAATTATTATAACTGGCCTTAAATTTTATCTTGAGTTTTAATTTATTCGTTAGTGATAAGTTTTGTGTCTTTTTTCTGAGTAAAATGTTAAATGTTTATTTTAAAAAATAATTATTTAATAAATAAATTTTTATATTTTAAAAATACATAAATTTTGTTTATGTTATTTATTTAAAAATTTAATTACATTCAAAAAAATTTGTGAATTTTGAATGTCCCGAACAATAATACCTAAAAAAATTTTGCTCCCTCTCTTTGTGAGAGCATGAGTTTATTTTTATTTAATTAAAAATTGAATTACATTCAATAAATAAATTTTGATAATTAAAAAATACATATATTTTTTAGCATATCAAAGTTTAAAAATTAAAAACATATACATATAATTAAATTTAAGGTCTCATACAAACTGTAAGCGTTACACCCAATAATTTCTACTCTAGAAGTATACGTTTTGAAAAAATATAAGTTATTCAAAACGTATAAATGTGAAAATAAGATGTCAATAACGTTGTTGATATTCAAAACAATATAAAAAATTATCGAGTACACATAAACAGGATGGGATAAAAGTGTCAGACACATCATCGTCCAAATCAGAGAAATCAGAAAGCTCAGGATCAGAAACAAGTAATGGATCCTCTAAAATTTCAATTTCGACATATTCAGGATCAAAATGCTCTATTTTAGCATAATCGAGTGCGCAAAAAAGATCAAGACAACGCTGCATTTGATCATTTTCACGTTCAAGCCTTGAAATGACCTCGTCATGATTGTTTGAATTCTGTGAATTGTAAATATCAGCCGAATGTGTCTTTGGTACTGCAATTCCATGTCAACGACAAAATACTTCAAGGTCACAACATTTGTCATATAATTGTCGCCATATTGGTGTGGGTTCGATATGAGCACCTAGAGGTGGATAATCAGTTGCAGGCCCAACAATTACATGTCCAGCTTGTCCGAATGGGTGATAAGGGTCGATGGGCTCATTGCGGAATACACATTTCGTCTATACCACGTTACACCACTAGAGTCGGTATATGATTCGATAGAAGGAACTTTGTTCAGCGATGTTGAGCTATCTGTTGAACGTTCACGTTTGTTTCCCGAAGATGAACTATTTTGGTGATTACGTGAAGAAGAACTTGCATGTGATGTGCTCCTATACATTTTGTTTGATGGTGGTGTATTTATACAACTGTGAAAGGTAGTATATATATGCTCGGTTCGGCATAGTTTGAAACTGATTTGCCAGTGATAGAAAATGACAATGAAAAAGTTTGGATACGACAACACACTGCATAAATTGATTAAATTGACAACACACTACATAGATTGATTAAAGTGACAATACACTGCATACATTGACAATTACAAGATGTGACAAGGAAAAAGTTGACATATGACAACACACTGCATAAACTTATAAAGCAACAATGATGATTAAAGTAAATAGGACATAGACATAAACGTTATATGCTTAATAAGGTGAACAGTAATTAAAATTTTTAATTTTCATCAGGCATATACTCATCTGATAGGTATTGTTCATTAGACAAAACCTTAGATCGCTCAGTAGCTGTTAACTCCCTGCCAAATGCAGTTGTGACCATGTCAGTTGCTATGTGGAGCATATAATATCGGCACTTGCGGAGCATCATCCTATTATTTTCCTTTCGTATACATTTAACTGATGCTTCATAGTTGATTCTATTCTTTCGGGGCATGGTAAGTGAAAGTCTATGTGGCACCGGTATAGCAAGTTCTGTCAATCTGTGCATAATGACTGTGATTCATTAGCACGAAAAGCCCACTCTCTAAGAAGTCCGGCATAATACTCCTTTGGATCAAAAAATCTCTCACTCTTGTAACCATCATCTCGCTCTTGTAATAACCATACCGGTTCATGCCTACGGCAGGTATCACTTGCTCGCGCCGCTAAAGTAGACATAATGTGCAATACATGTTATATGACCCGCCCTATATTATGTTTTTATAGTGATTTTCATTGTTTAAAATAAATACATTTGTCAGCAGTGCAGTAATGTGTAGTCACCATTATGTTCGAGTTGATGGTCAAACAGTAACAAGATATTTGTGCAGTGCGCGTGACTACACACTAGTACACAGTGACTTTGACAACACACTGAGAAATGTAGTCTATTGATTTTAGTAGACCCTCATTCATCCTGCGTCATAGTGATTCACGACCCGTGATACATTTAAAACCCATAACAACACACTAGTGCTGTTGAATAAAAACTAGTTACACTGACTGATAATTGCATCATTATTAGTCGTTGTGACAACACACTAGGTTGATGTGACTAAACACTGGTTAAATAGCAGTCTGTGTGACTACACAATGGTTCACTGTCAAAAAGTGTCAGTAGATATTATTGTGTAGTCCGTGACTGTGAGTACATAATGTTCTAATGTTAATCGCATACTAACATAAATAAATTGCCTATAAATATGAACTAATGTTCAATGTTCAATGTACATAATTTATCTCTAACAATGAATTTTAGTCTGAAAACCCTGTTTGAAACTCTGGGTTATCATTGGGTTTTAGAGGATAAGTTCTTTTACCCAATGAATCCTCAGTTACACTATTCAGTAACAGCTATGAACACAATGATGGTAGAATGGCAATATCGCTTGACAAAAAGAGAAAATCTAAACTTAGATTTACGTTCTTACAACATAAGAAGGCCTCGACAGGTTGCCATTGATATGCCTATCAACACTTCTCAACAATTAGAGCGAGCATTGTTTCGCATTCGAGTTGAGAACAATCGAATGGCAATCCGTTGTAATCTGCGCCGTATTGTAAGAGACCGTGCTATAGAAGGGAGGATGCAAGAAGCAAGTTTAAGCTACCAATTGAGTGGTGAAGCTTGATGTATTTCTGATCATTACCTGTCTGACGAAGATGAAGACCCATGAATAAGTGTCCTTGAAATCTTGTATTGTAATATTTACACTTTCGTCGTCGTACTTGTGTGTGCAATATGTTTATGTATTTTGTTTCTATGAAATATGGTGCACTACTCCAGTTTGTAATGTTCATCTAAATTTAAATAATTTATGTTATGTTATTCAACAAACATGTCTTTAGAGTATTGAATAAATAATTTGAAAGGCAGTAATGAAATAACATTACATGAAACTATGAACACAAACATATTTTATATACAACAATAATATTTACAAATTTTATACAAACAAGTATAAAAAAAAATACTATGTCCCACAAGGCGGTGGTCTCCTCTGCCGCTTGGGCCGCTGACCATCAGGCAGAGGCGATATATCTTCTATGACTCCACCATCTACTGGATCATGTGTATGGTGTGTATGTTGATCGACTACATGCCGACCTTTGCCTCGACCTATGTGTGACAATGATGACTCCTGTGTAACTCCCTCAGTTGGAATCTCAGCATCATCGGAGCGATCATCGTATGGAACAGGAGAAGTAGGTCGTGTGGGCATCGATGGAACAATACGTGGAATACATGGCCCAGCAGGTGGAAGTGATGTATCTGCCGTAACGCTTGGCGCTAGTGTAGGTGTGAATGGAGTCGTCGATGCATCAACACCGGGAGAGGTCAGCGGTGGCGCACATGATGTAACATTCGGACGATCAAGCGGTGATGAAGACTGATGGTGAACGACTAGTGTAGGAATGTCAAAATCATAAGTTGGGACATATGGGGTAGATGGGTCTGCCTCTGCAACAGTCTGTGGAACATATCTAGCTGATGGGTCTGCCTCTGATGGGACATATGTCATAGAAATATCCACGGCCGGTGAGGGAGTCTGCTCATGTGGGCGTGCAGCTGGAGGTCAAGGTATACGTACTCCCCGCTGTCGTGCAAAAACTAGGGCTGCAACAACT